CCAGACCCAGGGCTCACATGCCACAGTGCAGGAGCACACACGCTTCAGAGGGCTGGGTAGGAATTTCCCTAAGGTCAGGACTTGCGGTAAGGACATGCTCTCGATGAACGGGAAAGCTCAGAGGCATTCCGGAACTGAGGTTCATCAGAAGCCAACACGGTGAACTAGCATCCCAGGTGGAGCTGCTTTGGCCTCACCCTCCACCCCACGAATCCAGCTCCTACAGTCTCGCCTGCCCTCCTCTTCCGCGATGGTCCCTGCGCCTTAGGGACGGTGTTTGGGATTATCTAGCTGTAGCAGGGGTGCCTTGGCAACGGAAAACAGATCGGGCCCGTGAGATTCCCAGTGATGGAGGGTCACAGGCTGTTGAATCGCCTCTAATCTTCAGAACATCCTGACGTCTGTTTTCTTAGAGAAAGTAAAACAAGAGATACATGACATTAATAACGTGCACACAAGGATGACAATAAAGGGAATGTGGACGCCAGAACAGTAACAAAAAAAAGCCCATTTCACTGAGGAGTCGGCCAAACGAAGCATGAAGAAAACTCAAACCTGATATTCCTTTAGACACTTGTAGCCAGTGAATGACTCAGGATTAGCCAAATTTGCAAGCTAATAATAAAAACTCAAAAGCAATGGTCAGGGCTGGAATCCAAATTTTTCTCTCTCCAGTTTGGTTTCCCCATTTCTACCAAGGATAAATCATAATAGGACAGGTTTATTTGTACAATAAATGCTGGTCTCACTATACTTGGCCCAGTTATTTGCGTAAAGTGTGCAAGAATAGTAACCAGCCCTATAGGCTTTTTTTTTTCCCTGAGATAGGGTCTTGCTCCATCAGCCATGCTGGAGTACAGTTGTGCAGTCAGAGCTCACTGCAGCCTCAGCCTCTCAGCTCAAAGGATCCTCCTGCCTCAGCCTCCAGCCTCAGCTTCTCAGCTCAAACAATCCTCCTGCCTCAGCCTCCAGCCTCAGCCTCTCAGCTCAAACAATCCTCCTGCCTCAGCCTCCCGAGTCACCGGGACCCTCGGCACGCCCCACCAGACCGGCTCATTTTTCATTTTGTACAGACAGGGTCTCAGCATGCTGCCTAAGCTGGTCGGCTCTTTGTAGGTTGGCTTTGCTGGGATGTTTTTAGGGAATTTTGGATTCAACTTATTAAAAGCCTCAAGGCTAGAAGCCAGCCCAAGGAGTCACTGAATGAAACTGAAGTCTTTCACCACAAACTATGTTTCCTTGCCATGTCTTGAAATAGCCCTGCAAAGCTGCCTCTTGTGGGGAAAATCTGCATTCCAAAGAGAATCCTTTTCCTTTTTCAGCCCTTTCCCCTGATGCAGGAAAGTCAACTCTGGGGAGAAACATTTACCATCTGTTCTCTCTGACGCCACCTGGAGGCTTCCTCTCTGTCACGGGAACTTGGTCTCCACAACCCCTCGCCTTAACCCAGACACCCCCTCTATGGATTCCAGGTCTTTAGACAATAACTCTTTCAATCAATTGTCAATCAGAAAGCCTCTGAATCTGCCTGTGACCGGAAGTCCCCGTTTCAAGTCGTCCCAGCTCTCTGGACGGAGCCTATGTCTATCTTACCTGTATTCACTGATGTTTCCCTAAAATTCATAAAACCAGGTCGTGGCCCAACGCCTTGAGCACACGTCCTTAGGATCTCCCGAGGGCCGTGTCACGGGCCACAGTCTCTCATGTTTGGCTCAGAATAAATCTCTTTAAATATTTTACAGAGTTTGACTCTTTTCATGGACACGTTCATACCTTTGGTTCTGCAGCTGTGGGTAGGAGTTTCCCCATTTTTCATTTTCTGTTTTTTTGTTTTTTTGTTTGTTGTTTAGAGTCTCCTTCTGTTGCCCAGGCTGGAGTGCAGTGGCGTAATCTCAGCTCACTGCAGCCTCTGCTTCCTGGGTTCAAACAGCCCTCCTGCCTCAGCCTCCCCACAGCTGAGATGACAGGCGTGTGCCACCACACCCTGCTAGTTTTTGTATTTTTGGTAGTGATGAGGTTTCATCGTGTTGGTCAGGTTGGTCTTGAACTCCTAACCTCAAGTGATCCACCCACCTCAGCCTCCCAAAGTGCTAGGATTACAGGCGTGAGCCACCGCACCAGCTTCAATATCCATTTTTCCTAAAGCATTTAGATAAAGGATGTTTAAACATTTTGACTTTCACAATTCTACATTTTTCTGTTCTGCTCCCAAGAACTTCTTTTTTCCAGCCCCAGACCATTTTAACCCTCTCTTGTGAAAACCAGTTTTGGTTCCCCACGGGGGCTGACCCAAGGGGCCCTGGCCCTTTTGTCAATCTCATCTGATTAACCAACCTCAACATTGCCCCCGGCAACTGTTGGTTGGTTAGCTCAGTGTACATTTTGCCTCCTAATTGTTAGAATTAGATTGCCTTCTCTAATCTGGGGGGCTCCTTTTGCTCACCAACCTTCGATAGTGTCATTTTATGACCTTCGTGTTAAGACCTTCCATTTCTCTGCTGTTCATTCCATGCTGAACAGCCATTGACAGATCCCGCCTGCCAGGATGCATCCATCATTCTCTCCTTTCCTTTTTCCACTTTTTACCTTTCTTGTTTGTTTTTTGAGACAGAGTCTCACTCTGTCGCCCAGGCTGGAGTACAGTGGCATGATCTTGACTCACTGCAACCTCCATCTCCCAGGTCCAAGCAATTCTCCTGCCTCAGTCTCCACAGTAGCTGGGATTACAGACACATGCCACCACACCTGGCTAATCTTTGTATTTTTATTAGAGACGGGGTTTTGCCATGATGGCCAGGCTGGTCTCGAACTCCTGATCTCAGATTATCTGCCCATCATGGCCTCCCAAAGTGCTGGGATTCCAAGGCATGAGCCACCGTGCCCAGTCCATTTTTACCTTATTTAAAAATAGCCGTTTAAAAATGTTCCCCTTCGTAGGATGAGTCCTCGGACTCCCTTTTGCCTTTCCCAATGCTCTTATTAACTAGCCTAATGTTTTTATCAGCAGCTGGATAACCCATGAGGGGAAGTCGAGACCCAGTCAGGTTGCCAGGCCAATGGCCCCCCAACCATGGCATTTACCAGGACCTGGGCATACTCAGAGGTGGATGCCCCAGTCATCATAAAGTCAGTCCCACACGGCTTGCTTACGAACCACATCGGGGTGCTCCACTTGGCGATTATGGGGAGAACTGGGCAGTCCCCTTCTCGTTCAGTGCCTTTTATCCAGCCCACCAGGCCGGCTGTTCCCTCAGGAAGAACCTGTGTGCTGGATCACACACCCATCTGCCATTGTTCAGCAGTGAACAATGGGGTGAGGCTGCTCACTGCTCGAAGAGAGAAGCCAAAATAATAACGAGGTATGACAGAAAGAGAGCGAGACTTCGTCGTCCGTGCCAGCAAGGGACGAGCAGAAAGCAACTCCACTCTTCCATTTGTGGAGGGAACGCGGTGGGGTTTCAAGAGAGGGTTTGCAATGCGGAAGAGGCAGGGGTGAGGAGGTGTCGGGTGGCAGGACCCAGCCCCCCACTGCTCGTCTGGAATCATCGCTCCCTTCGGTGAAGCGGCCGGCAGCATCGTGACTGGAAGTGTCTGGTCCATATCAGGATCTGGCCTCTGACACTTCTAAGGAAACATCTCACCAGCTAAGTGAGCACGGTGTGAGCTTAACAAGCATCCAGGTAAAATCAACGTGTGTGATGCGTGAGAGCGTGGGACGGAAAAGGAGAGGGACGGGAGGTCACAGCAGCTGCGCAGGCTGTGTATCAAGAGGAAAGGAAGTACGTCTGCAGCTGGCCTCACAGCTACGTCTTGAGACTGCGGAGAACGGAGAGAAAAAGCAAAGTTTTAAAACACGGTTTGAAGCCAAGCTGCTCGGTTACACATTTAAAACCAAAAACGCTGTTCCCAAATTAGTCATTCTCATAATTCCCTTCGGTAGACGTTCCCCAGGAAGCTGATGGACGGACCGAAGCAGTTCCTCCGCATCAGGCCCGCTGGCTTTCTGGCCCCCACGCTACTGGACACTGCCCCTCACCGCCTTCCTGGTAAGCACGGGCCTCAGAGGTGCTTTCTTTTATCCCGGGCACAATGTTCCCGTTTGCAGGAACTGTAATCGAAGGTGGCAGGCAACTGTAATCCCAGCTACTCGGGAGGCTGAGGCAGGAGAATCGCTTGAACCCAGAGGGCAGAGGTTGCAGTGAGCCGAGATCGTGCCATTGTACTTGAGCCTGGGTGTTAGAATGAGAGTCTTTGTCTCAAAGGAAGAAACGACACCACTTGTTACTCTTCGTACATGCGTGGAAGAGTCCCGCCTGTATCTAGCAGTTTACCTGCGTATATGAACTCTTACTTTAACCCTTAGTGACCCTCATTTCTAGCAAATCTCAGGCTTAATTTAGCACCACATGACTTTTAGATTTTATGTTATAAAGAGAATTTTGAAACTGAAGATTACGAAATCATGTGAATTAAAGCCATTTGAGCTAGCCTCTATTTTCCTCAGAAGATATTTAAGTCTTTAAATTTCCTTTAAGCCAATTAGAGTTCTTTTTTTTTTTTATACTTGTGCATGTATCTTTATAATAGAATAATTTACATTCATTCGGGTTTATACCTGGTAATAGGATTACTGTGTCAAGTGTTATTTCTGCATCTAGGTCTTTGAGGAATCGCCACACTTTCTTCCACAATGGATGAACTAATGTACACTCCCACTAAGAGTGTAAATGTTTTCATTTTTCTCTACAATCTTGCCAGCATCTGTTGCTTTTTGATTTTTTAATAATAGTCTTAGGCAAATCCCTACCCCTCCAAGGATTTTGGTTTTTATTTTTTAATTTTTTTTTAGAGGGAAAAAGAGAAAAAGAAGGGGAAAAAAAGAAAAAGAAGGAAAAAGAAATATTACTTCATTCCTAAAATGGGTTTCAATAATGGCCGATCAATATTTTTTTTTTTTTTTTTTTGGAAAGCAGCCTCAGAAAGGGAGGTTTTTCTTTATTGGGAACTCAGGTGGGCAGGGATCCTACGACTCCAGTGATATACTGAGGCTGAAGGAATATGCCACAGCATTACCTCTGCAATCTATGTCCTCTCCCAAAGTAGAGGAAACCATGAGCCCCAACTTCTGTCCCTCCCCATTGACACTCTTAAGGACTTTACCATTACCCAAAAAGAAATTACCCACCACCACAAACACACACACAAAGTTAGGTCCAGCATAGGCCAAAGTTAGGCCAAGCATAGAAAGCCTCAGTAACTCTTCTTGGTGGAACCAAAGTCAGAGAAGCCCATCACAGCTGCCATCTCATCATCCTCCTCAAATGTCAAGTCCTCCTCAGCCCTCCTTTTCTTCTCCTTCTGTTTCTCTTTCTTGTATGCTTTGGCCTTTTCCTCCTCTTCTCCGAGCTCCTTCATCCTTTCCTCAAAATCATAATCCTTCTGCTTTTCTTCCATCTTCTTCTTGTTGACCTCAAAACGTTTCTTCACCTGATCCAGGGTGGAACGTTCCACACGCATACACATGCCCAGGTTTCTCTGATGTTTCTTTCCATTAATGTGATCCAGAAAGTTGATGGAGTCCTTCACCACACAGTCACAGACATTGCAATAATATCCTCCCATCTCAGATTGAGGTGTGGTCTTGGTAATAACAATTGTCTTCCCAAGTTTGGATTCCAAGTCCACCTTGTAGTCCCTATGCCGTAGAAGCTCTCGCTTGACAGGCTGCACTGGTTTTCCATCCTTCTTTTCTCTCTCTTCCGTGAGCCTCTTCTCGGCGAGCTTCTCGTACTCATCTTTGTCCCACTTTCGGCGAAAGTCCAAGTTTTTTGTCCCGCTGCCCGACGCCATCTTCACAGCAAAGTCCCGATCAATATTTTGAGTGTTTAAAGTGGTTAGTGCATATTTTATGTGTTTAAAATGGAGACCTCTATTGTGTTTATTTGTTCTGGCTCTGAGTTCAAGTCCTGGATATCGTTATCAATTTGTTGTCTCGTTGAGTCTAAATCTCATTATGTGTCTTATGTATCTGGGTGTTAAGATCTCTTATTGTTACATTAATCCTTTTACCCTTGCATCCTTGTAGCTTTGAAATCTATTTTATTAAGTGTGAGAATTGCAACTCCTGCTTTTTAGTATTTATTTTTGCTCTCCATTTGGTTGGTGAGTTTTTTTCCATCCCCTTGTTTTGAGTCTTTGTATATCTTTAGATATATCATTAGATTTTGTGGATAATGTATATTTTGTGTGTTTAAAATGGAGAGCTCTATTGAGTTTATATGTTCTGGATCTTAGTTCCAGTCCCGGATATCGTTATCAATTTTCTGTCTCATTGAATCTAAATCTCATTATGGGTCTTATGTATCTGGGTGTTAAGATCTCTTATTATTACATTAATCCTTTTACCCTTGTATCCTTGTAGCTTTGAAATCTATTTTGTCAAATGTGAAAATTGCAACTCCTGCTTTTTATTTATTTATTTTTGCTCTCCATTTGGTTGGTATGTTTTTTTTTTCCAACCCTTTATTTTGAGTCTATGTATATCTTTGGATATACCGTTAGATTTTGTCTGTATCTTTTGATTGGGAGATTTGGTCGATTTAAATTTAGGGTTGCTGCCATTTGATATTAACTGACTATTTTGTCCTTTCGTTGATAAAAATTCTTTATGTTAATGCTCTTTACTTTTTGGTGTATTTTTAGAAAGGGTCATACTAGTTGTTCCTTTCTGTGTATAATGCTTCTTTTAGAAATTCTTGTAAAGCAGGCCTGGTGGTAATAAAATCTCTGAGTACTTGCTTGTTCCTAAAAGATTTTATTTTTCCTTCAAATGCAAAGCTTAAATTGGCAGGATATGAAATTCTGGGCTGAAAGTTCTGTTCTTTAAGTATATTGAATATTGGCCCCCACTCTCTTCCAGCTTGTAGGGTTTCCATTGAGAGATCTGCTGTAAGCCTAATAGGCTTACCTTTATGGGTAACTTGATCTTTCTGGCTGCCCTTAATATTTTCTCCTTCGTTTCGATCTTGGTGAATCTAACGATTATGTGCCTTGGGGTTGGTCTTCTTGAGGAATATCTTTGTGGTGTTCTCTGTATTGCCTGGGATTGAATAGTGTCCTGCTTTGCTAAATTAGGAAAATTTTCCTGGATAATGTCCTGGAGAGTATTTTCCAGCTTGAATTCATTCTCTCCGTCACATTCAGGTACACCAATCAAGCGTATATTAGGTCTTTTCACATAGTCCCATATTGCTTGGAGACTTTGCTCATTCCTTTTTATCCTTTTTTCTCTATTCTTGTCTCGTCATTTTGTTTCATTAAGTTGGTCTTCGACCTCTGATACCCTTTCTTCTGCTTGATCCATTCGGCTGTTTAAGCTTGTACATATTTCACTAAGTTCTCGTGTTGTATTTTTCAACTCCTTAAGTTCATTTGTATTCCTCTCTATATTGTCTATTCTTTTCAACATTTCATCTAACCTTTTTTCCAAGTTCTTAGTTTCTTTACATTGGGTTAGAACAAGTTCCTTTAACTCCCAGAAGTTTCTTATCATCCACCTTTTAAAGCTTACTTCAGATAATGGAACACAGTCCTTTTCCATCAGGGCTTGTTCTGTTACTGATGAGTCCTTTTCCATCAGGGCTTGTTCGGTTGCTGATGAGTCCTTTTCCATCAGGGCTTGTTCCGTTGCTGATGGGTTCTGATTTTGAGTATACTCGGCCTTTTTAGGCTGTTTTTTTCCCTTCATTGTAGATGAACCGCCTTTCTAATTAGGTTTCTGAGTCGACGTCCGACTTATTGATTCCCAGTGCTGGGATCCAAGCAACCCACTGTGGCAGCCTAAATAGCAGCGATAAGACTGATGGTGCTCTTCTGCCCGGGAATCTCTGGTCTGGCTTCCCTCTTGAGTCTGTAACAAGCGGCTCTGACTTCCCAGAGCTCCAAACTCCGGTCAGTAGAAGAAGCGGTCCCGTTGGCTCTGCATGAAGAGCTGCTGTGCCGAGACACCAGCAAAACCGCTGCGGCGGCCACAAGAGTCGCGCTGGCGACCCGTGGGGCTCCTCCACTGGGAATCGGCTAATCGGTGAGTGACGAAAATTTGTCTAAAGATGTGGCGTTGTCTCGTTCTCTGAGCTTTCACTGGGAGCTACAATCCTGAGCTGTTAGTGGTTGGCCATCTTGGATCGATCTCTAGAGTTCTTTTATATAATCTGGTAGTGACCGACCGTGCACACATGACCCATGTAAATATGTATGAGACAGAACAGGCGTGGGACAGGCCTTCTCCTGCATAATGTCTCACCATGCCCTCCCCTAACCCTGTTCCGGAAGCGCCCGCACTCATTTAATTTTGCATAAACATGCTCTTTGAGGCTGAAGCAAATCTGACTGCTTTTCAACGTGAAAATAAAGATAAAAACTGTTCTTGGAGTTATTTCCAAACAGAACTAACATCGCAGTCATCTGAAGCATCAGAATCGTCTATTTCAGAAAAATTGGATTCACCAAATGAATCTTCAGCCAACAACTGTTCGAAATGGTGTTGACATCACAGGGATGCTACATTTTCTAAGATCTGACATTTTCAATGGTTGATAATTACTATATTTTGCAACTGGAAATGCCACTATGAAAAACAGAACGTATAAATAGAGCAATGTCTTTTGTTTCCAAAGTTGATATACTAGAGCAATGCAAAAATAGTAATGAAAGTGAGACATTTTGTGGCAAAGTTGTCTCGGGGTGAACGCTGCAGCCACAGTGCCACCGGCGAGTATTCTTGGGGCAAATGGGAAATGGGCTAAAGAATTCCAGGATCTGGCCTTAAGAAATCCAAATATCACACCAAGGTTGTGGTTTGATCTCATTTATTCAGCCTGAATAGGTTTCTTTAGCATTTCTCATAGTGCCTATGTGATGATAATAAATTCTTATGGCTTTATTTTTAAAAGTATTTACTGCCGGGCACAGTGGCTCAAGCCTGTAATTCCAGCACTTTGGGAAGGCAAGACAGGCAGATCACCTAAGATCAGGAGTCCGAGACCAGCCTGACCAACATGGTGAAACCTCGTCTCTACTAAAAATACAAAAGTTAGCCGGGTATGGTGGTGTGTGCCTGTAGTCCCAGCTACTCAGGAGGCTGAGGCAGGAGAATTGCTTGAACCCAGGAGGCAGAGGTTGCAGTGAGCTGAGACCACACCATTGCACTCCAGCCTGGGTGACAGAGTGAGACTCCATCTCAGAAAAAAAAAAAAAAAAAAAGAGTATTTACTTCACCTTCCTTGTTGAAGAATATTTTCACTGGATGTAGAATGCTGGGTGGATCTTTATCTTTCCTTCAGCTCTTCAGACACACTTCTCCACTGTCTTCTGGCCCCCATCGTTTCTGATGAGAAGTCAGCTCACGGATGTTCTAATATCTCATGGGAATGTGTGTTTTCCTCTGGCTGCCTTCGAAATGCATCTTTGACCGCCAGCAGCTTGACTATGATGTGCCTACACGTGGTTTTCTTTGTATTTATACTGGATGGGGTTTGTCGAGTTTCTTAAATCTGTGATTTTATGCCTTACCTGAAATATGGAGGTGTTTTGGCAATTGTTTCTCTAGAGAATGTTTTCTGCACTATTTTTTCTCTCCTCTTCCTCAGGAGCTCCTATGACACTCATCTGAGGCCCTTTCACACGGTGCCTCACTTGCCCGACCTCTGTATGCGTTTTCCTTTTCCTCTGCATTCTTCTAATGGGTTAATTTCTATTAATTTATCCCCAAGCTCCTCTTTCTTCTGTCACCTCCAATCTTCTTTTAAGTCCAACTGGGACATTTTTACCTCAGATATTTTAAATTTTTTGGTCTAGATTATTCTTAGTTTCTACTTCTCTGTTGAGATTTTCTATCTTTTCGTCATTAAAAGCTCATTTTCCTTTACATCCTTAAACGTAGATGTAATTCCTGCTCAAAGCGTTGATGTGGTCGCTACAAAATCTGAGTTTTCTCAGAGATGATCTCCCTTCATTAACTTTTCTCTAATGTATGGGTCATACTTTACTGTTTCTTCTTGTGTCAAATAATTTTATTTTATTTATTTTTTTGAGACAGGGTCTTGCCCTGTCATCCAGACGGGAGGGCAGTGGCGTAATCTCACCTTACTGCAAACTCTGCCTCCCAGGGTCAAGCAATCCTCCTGTCTTAGCCTCCCGAGTAGCTGGGATTAATCATCCACTCCCACGCTCAGCTAATTTTTTTGTATTTTATTTATTTATTTGTTTTTTTACTATCTCCAGTAATGGGCGAAAGCAAGTATTTTATTTTTTTTAAGTAGAGATGGGGCTTCACCATGTTGGCCAGGCTGGTCTTGAACTCCTGACCTCAGGAGAGTGATGAGCGTGGAAACCCTGCCCTCATCGTGTTGCTCTGAAGGGCGTTGCTTTTATCATCAGCCTTTTTAACCTGGCTGAACTCGGCCTGTAAACTCTGTCATCCGAGCGTGGAGGGAGCTGAAATCTCAGTTCAGTTCTGCTCAGTTCGATTCAGCCTGAGCGGGGCTACTCGGAGTCCACCCTTGATGAATATTGTTCAGAGAGAAGCTGAAAAGCAGGTTCACCGCTCACTGCACACAGAGTCCAATTTACAAGAGCGAGTTCCGCCTCCAGAGAAGGGAGGTTACAGCAAAGCTAGCTCGGGGGAAGCGTCCTGCCTTTAAACGTGCTGCTTCCCGTTTGGAGCAGAATGTGGGCATTTCTATAAGGTAGGGGAAATGAGCAAGGCCGGGGTGCCCCAGCTACTGGGCAGCTGGTATCTACTGGGCAGGAGCAGGATGTGAAAGTGGCCCCATGCGCATGTTTCTGACATGCCCTCTCAGTGGGTGTGCATTCCGGTTTCC